CAAAGTCCTGATTGAGATGTGGATTTATTCAATACCTGTATTTCACCTCTTTCTCCACATTCTTTCTTTGTCTCTCCACTCACAAAGAGGCCAGAGTCTTGTGTAAGTCCAGACCAGGTAGCAGGTTCCGTTCCCTGATCGACATTATTTAACCACTTGGCTTTTATGACTTTTGTGGTCACCTTTTTATAGTGCTTCATTAATCCTACAAACTACCAGATTCAATACCAGATTCATTACACAGGCAGCCTGGTGTTTGTATGGACTCTCTCTTACTCCCATTGTTCCGTTTTAAATCGATTTCACAGGGTATTCAAAGGGAAACTGACACCAGACATCATCCCAGGGTCTCATGGGCCCCTCAGTTTACTGTAAACAGAACAAAATCAGATTTTGAACATGGAAGAAGAAAGCATTGTTCACAGTGTAGAGAAACCATACACGTATCGTGTGTGTGGACTCAGTTTTAGTTAACTACCTGGACTGACACAATGCAAGCCTTGGTTGTGGGAAGGGATTCATTTGGTTAACCACAGTGCTGGCACACGAGCTGTTCACACTGACGAGAGACCTTTTAAACGTCCAAACTGTGGGAAGTGCTTTAAACATTCTGGGCAACTGATGAATCATGAATGTATTCACACCGCTGAGCGACCGTTCTTGTGCTTTTTGTAGACATGTGTTCAGATGATCATCTGACCTCGACATACACCAGCGAATTCACACTGGAGAGAGGCCATTCGTCTGCCCTGAGTGTGGGAAGGGATTCACTCATTTATCTCATTTGCTGACACAGAAGTGAGTTCGTAAGTATCTGTTGGATGTTTGGATTTTATTTTCAATCACAACCAGTACTGAACCATTTCAATGGAATTTGTTTCCACTGGTGTGAATAACTCCAGTTCTCAGTCTTTATATTTAACATGAAAGTCAGATCAAACAGCATTCTGTGCAACGTGCAGTATGTTTTTTTTTATGATATCTCTAATACAAGTTTGTTCTCATTGAACATCTCTCCCCCTCCCCAATGTATCCTCCATCCTCACCTACAACAACAACTGAGGAGCTCAAAGAGCTTCATTGTCTCACTCATAGTGACAATCCGATCCACTGCCTCTGCTGCTTCCTATGAGGCCACAGAGTTCCTAAAGTTCGCCCTTGTCTGAACTCAGAACCTGCATGTTTCTCTGGTTTCTCTCCTACATTGTTGTAACCAGTGTGTTATGAGCCCCTCTCAACTGGCTGCCAGCCTTTTCTCCTAATTCTCTCCCTTTCTTGTTTGCTTTTTCACCTGCTTGCCCCAACTTCTGAATCTTCAATATTCCTCGTGACTGTCAATTTGGACTTTTCTCCTTGACACCTATCATAAGTGCACTTTTTCTTCTTTATCTTAAATTCTATTTGTCATACAAGCAGCCCTGAATGTGTTTGTCCTTCCTTTCCTATTTGAGTATACCTGAACCATCTCCTCTTTGAAAGTAGCCCTTATTATTAATTATACTTTGTCCCATCAACCTGCCATTCCAGTCATTGCTGTCCAGCTTTGTCCTTGCTCTGTTGAAGACAACTCTCCATCAACTGAGCTTTCTTATTCTGAATTAATGCTTGTTATTATCTGACATTATTCTGCACCTTACTACAAGTGATCACTGTCTCCTGAATGGTCTGCCACTGATACTTGATCTATTTGGCCCCCATCATTCCCAAGAAGTAGGACCAAACAAGCACTCTTTCTTTTTGAACTGAATGCACTGTCTTTGGAAATTGTCGTGCGTACAATCCAGGAAAACTTATCCTCACTGCCTCTTACACTACCAATATTCCAGTCTGTATTTGGGGAACTGAGGTCTCAAAGAACACTATAGAACAGGAACAGTCCCTTCAGCCCACAAGCCTCCATTAACACATGATTTTCTAATCATGAAACCTTTATCCCCTGCGCAGTTTGTATCTCGCTATTCCCTGCCAATTCACGAATCCATCAAGATGTCTTTTAAGCATTGTGATTGTATCTGCTTATCCCACTTCCTCTGGCAATGCATTCTAGGCACATACTATCCTCTGTGTAAAAACTTGCCTTTCACACCTCCTTTACATGTTTTCCCTTTTACCTTAAACTTATGTCCCCTACACAAATTGTCATTTCTACTCTAGACTCCAACTATCCATGTCTCTCACAGTTTTGTAAATTTCTACCGGGTTGCCCCTCAACCTCTGATGTTCAAATGAAAACAAACCAAATTTATCCAACCTCTCCTCATAACTAATATCCTCCAAACAAGGTGACATCCTGGTAAAGTGTTTCTGTACCCTTTGCAAAGCCGAACATCCTTATGGTGGTTTGGCGAGCAGAATTGTACACAACATTGGAAACGTAGCCTCACTAAAGTTCTAGTGAGCTGCAACATGACCAATTTTTATACACCACCTTGACCATCATCTCCACTTGAGTTGCCATTTTCAGGAAACTGTGAACCTGTATACCTAGATCCTGCTCTATGATAATGCTTCTCATAATTCTGCCGTTTACTGTATACTTCCCTCCTGCATTAGACCTTCCAAAATGCATCACCTCACATTTGTCTGGATTAAATGCCACCTGCCATTTCTCCATCCAAGTCTCCAGTCAACCTATGTCCTGCTGTATCCTCTGGCATTCCTCCTCACTACTCACAGCTCCCCAGATCTTTGTCATTCACATACTTACTAATTAGACCACCTACATTCTCCTCCAAATATTTTTTATAATAAATATGTTAACAACAGGGGTCTGATTCCTACAGAAAAGCACTGGTCACGGATCTCCAGCTACTCTTCATCTTTTATAACAAAGCCAGTTCTGTACCCAACTCACGGTGTAACCTAGGTCACTTAAACTTCTGTATCAGCCTGCCATGAGGGACCTTGTCAAAGGCCTTGCTAAAGTTCATGTGGATAACATGCATCTTGGCTTCCTGCAGAGGAGGTCATGTCTCACAAACTGGATTGAGTTTTTTTGAGCAAGTGACGAAGATGATTGATGAAGGCAGTGCAGTGGATGTTGTCTGCATGCACTCCACTGAAGCATTTGACCAGCTCCCTCATGGTAGGTGGGTCCAGAAGATTAAGTCACATGAGATTGATCCATGGTGAGTTGCTAAATTGGATTGGGTTACAGAGGGAGGGTGGGGACGGTGTTTTTTGACTGGAGATCTGTGACCAGTGGTACAAGGTTTGTCATATTTATAAAAGATTTGGATGAAAATCTAAGTTGTCTGTTTAATAGGTTTGCTAATGCTGTGAAAATTGGTGCAGCTGAGGATCGTGAGGTTGTCAAAGGACACAGCAGGATGTAGATCAATTGGAAAATTGAATGGAGAAATGGCAGATGGACTTTAATTCAGAGAAGTGTGAGGTAATGTAGTTTGGGAGGCTAAATGCAAGAGGAAAGTATACAGTAAATGGCAGGACCATTAGGAGCATTGGTATAAAGGGGGATCTTGGGGTCCAATTCCATATAGCTCCCTAAACACAGTTGGATAAGGTGGTAAAGAAGAAAGTTGAGTGGACCAGTGCACTGTCATCAGTGTAGGTTAGAGGATTAAAGACAAGCTTTATTTTTGTCTTTGTTTTCAGTCTGAATTGAGTGTCGAGCTTGCTGCCTGACCAGGTATACAGGTAAACTTCTTCAATTCAGAGGCCGAAAGAATGAAGAAGAAAATGTGAAACACAGCCCAGTTTCACTTCATTCTTTATCCTGGACCTATCAGATGCGATGCTGTTAATCTGTGCAATACAGGGCAATGAAA